GTCAAAATGTTGACATTTATTTATTTATTTATTTATTTATTCAACATCTCCTGGCCCGTCCGAAGACTGCCAATAAACATGAGAGGTCAGGTGATAGCCAACCACGGCAAGCTAAAAGGGAAAAAAAAGAAAGATGCTGTCAGAGAGGGAAAGGAGATAGGGAGAGAAAAAGAAAGGGAGGCACATTAATAATACATGGGATCACTTCGGATGAGACAGTGTGGAAAGCTGGACTGTGAATTTCCTGATATCCTGGCATGTCTTAATGCTAGTAGGCAGGTTAGACCAAAGGGAGTATGCTGAGAAGAAAGGGGATTTCAAAAACAGAGAGGAACTAGCGCGGGGCAGTGATAAGGCATTGCGTGTTGGGCTAGTGGTAACAAACCAGTTGTACTTGGCAATATGTTTCGGGACTTGGGCTAGGAAGATTTTTTGCACAAGGATACAAAGATGCTGCTGATGTCGGGCAAGAAGAGGGTGCGTGGAAGCAAGTTTATAAAGACAAAGGGAGGCAAATGTTTGGTCTTTTCGAAACAGAATTTTCAGAAGCAAGCGTTGATGTACCTCCAGTCTGTGGAGTAAAGTCTGAGACAACCCGCACCAAGCTATATCGCAATAGTCAAATATAGGCAAAATGTACGACTTAAAGAACAATTTTCTGCAGTTATCATTCAAGTGTTGGCAGTGGGGTTGTAGCATACCTAAGGACGCACTCGCACGCTTGCACACAGACTGGACTTGTGGAGACCAGGAGAGTTGGCGGTCGAGAATAACGCCCAGGTGCTTGTGCTCGTTAACAACTTTAATAGGTGTACTATTTAGACCAGGAAAATACAGAAGTTGAGTGGGGGGCGAGGGAGAGAAGAACATGGCCTCGGTTTTGGCGAGGTTAGGCTTCAGTTTCCAGGTTTCCATCCATGTTACTGTAGCGTTGACCCCGGACTGCATGGAGGCCGTGAGGTTGTCTGCCGAGCTGTCGGAGCACATCAGAGCAGTGTCGTCAGCAAAAAGACTTACATTTGGTACAAGGGCTGGCAAGTCATTAACGTACAGTAGAAATAGGAGCGGCCCAAGTATGGACCCCTGGGGTACCCCAGACACGACTAGTAATGGGTCTGATAGGGAGGTAGATACTCTGACAGTCTGGTGGCGGCAGGAAAGATAGGATGAGAGCCATTGCAGGGCTGGACCGTGTACCAAGAAGACGGACTCTAGCTTTGCAAGCAGACCACGATGCCAGACGGTGTCGAAAGCTTTCGCTAGGTCAAAGAACACGATGCCAACATGCCGCCTGAGGTTCCGCTGGGTGTAGATGTCTTGTACTAGACGTGTTAGTTGGAAAGTTGTGGAGTCTCCACGGCAGAAACCGGATTGAGATGGTGAAAGCGCTGGGGTGACGTGGCAGTACAGAGACTCAAATAAAATACGTTCACAGACCTTGGACACAGCGGGAAGGAGAGAGATTGGTCGGTAGTTGCCAGCCTGAGAGCGTTGGCCTTTCTTATAGATCGGGACGATAACAGCAGATTTCCAGACGGACGGAAATACTCCTGTACGATATGACATGTTAAAGAGCAGGCACAAGGGATAGGACAGAGATGGCGCAAGCCATTTGAGAACCTCATTGGGTATGCCATCTTCGCCAGGGGACTTACAATTCTTCAGGAGTTTGAGGTGCTTACAGACGGTAGCAGTCGTGGTAACGACGCGTGTGAGTGGTGCGCTAAGTTCAGGGGCTGGGGACAGCGATGGAATGACCCAATTCGGATCTTCCGGAATGCCGGATGAAACAAACTGCTTGTTCAGTGTGTCTGCAATCGCCTTCACATCGTGCTGGCGGTTGCCATTGGAGTCCGTCAGGTACTGGATTGGCGCGCGGGAGGTCCCGCGGCACTGGTTGCGAATGAATTGGTGGAGTGATGGGCGATCGGGGGAGGAGAGTGTTGCAGAAAGAGAGTTTAGAAAGGAGCGGTGTGAGGTACGAGAAAGGTGCTTGACGAAGTTGCGTTGAACTCGGTAAGCCTCCCGGTTAACCGGCGTTGGGAATTTCTTGTAGATGCTGAAAAGATCACGCTTGCGCTTCACTTCAGATACGAGGGACCGTGTCATCCATGGGGGACTAGATGTCGAGGATGTTGGGTTGGAATGTTTCCGGTTGTTGTAGCCGATAGCAAAGTTAGAGAGGTGCTGTTGGAACCCTCGTTCAAGGACGGCTGCAAAGTGATCTACCGCGGCGTCAACAGTTGGAGAGCCTTCTGGTTGCAGAAACGACCAGTCGTGGCAGGAGAAATCAGCGTTCATAGAGTCCCAGCACTGAGAGGGAACTCGACGGAAGCGATATGGGAACGGTTTGCGAGAAGGAAGTGGCAGGTCTGGATCCGAGGGCAATGAGACGGCGAACTGGCATGAAACCATGAGATGGTCCGAGGAGCCAAGAGCGCAAGCTGTGTGAACGTCCGTCGCCAGCAGGGGTTGGTTCGTGAAGACAAGGTCTAGACATGACTGTGTTCCGGAAGATGTTGTGTGCGTTGGACTCTGCACCAGCTGATCCAAACCGAAGCAGGTAAGGGTGCGAAAAAGTGCCGCCCCAGCAGGACACGTTAAATCCGATGGGCACCACCGTTTGTGCTTACTGTTGAAGTCCCCAGCCATTATGACATGGTACGATGACATGGGAACGGTTACCAAAGCACTAGCTAGCATATCACAGAAGTGGTCTATTTCCGTGGTTTTGACTGAGGGCGGACGGTAGGTACAGCAGACGAGGATGGGTGTCGGGGAGCCTAAGATTGGGTGAAGCTCAACCCATACGGATTCACAGGTCGGACGAGCAAGGTCGTCGCGAACTTGGACTCTTCCGAAGCGATTTTGCCGGACAAGAATCGCAACTCCACCATATCCTCTGGTTGCCGTACCGGATTTGTTATCATGAGGTGGTCGGTCGCGACGAAATGTGGTATAACCGGAGATGGTGAGCGCTATGCTTGGATTTAGCCATGTTTCATTTAGACAGATGACATCAGGTTTGTTGAAATCAGCAATGACAGACAGTTCGGCAGATTTGTTAACGATTGAGCGGCAATTTACGGAAAGCAAGGTCAGTTTACCCTGGCAAGGGGGGAAGTAGGGCCGAGCCAGTGGATTCAGCTGTGGTCGCGCCATCATGCTGAGCCTGAGGAGAGGACGTTGTTTGCCTGGTTGGCATTGCTGGTGTCAAAACTGTCCGCGGCAAAACGCCAGGGCCTAACCGTGTGCGAAAGAGCATCCGGCCAGAACCCTTTGTCACCGACTGTGTTCTCATCAGCTGCCTCGACGGTCACCCGTGCGTAGGCAGTTCTGAAGTGCTTGGATGCAAATATGACACCTTCCTGAATCTGCACTCCTCGGGCAGAGCACCATTCAGCAATTGATGATGCGGAGCAGTGTGGCTGCACGTTGCCAACGTAAAACACTTTGCGTTTGGCCCGGGGTGATGCCGTGAGGTCTACTGCCGGCTCGCTATCACGAGCCGGCTTGGTGTAGCGGGATGTTTCCACCCGCCTTGTTATGCTTTGAGCTAGCTGGGACTGACTACTAGTATCTGCCGCGTGCCTTTGTCTCTGGGCGGCTCGAGTGCGTCTGCCCTGGTGTTCCTGCCATTCGATGATGAAAAACGAGTACGGAAAACTCTGAAAAATTCTGCAAAATGGCACTGGGCAATACGCATGGTGGTAGAGGGCACTTGGTAACACTGACTTTGTTTGGTTTCAGGCCTGGCCATAGCACTGCCAATGTGGTGTGGACACAGCGCTGGATTTCAGCTAAAGCCACCCACTTCGTGTGGGATCGCCAAGTCCTTGGCCTCGAGATGTCAAAAGCATTGGACACCAGTAGCTTTTTTGAAGTGGAATAGTGCGCCTCTTTCTCCACACGTATAATTATGATACCATAATGTGGGTTATCCGAAAAGAGGGCATATTCCCAATGAGGCTGTTAGATACACACCTGTTATTGAAGGACCATACATGTACATAGCGCTTCTTGTCGATTTGGAATAATTTGTTATATTTTATATATTTTTGGTCTGAATCCTTTTTTTCTTCTGAGTCCTTTTTTCATTATCGTCATCTGTTTTGTTTTTGGTCTTTTTGGTGAAGCACGTAAAAGCATAATTAGCTGTTTTCTCGAGCATCCTGCGAGCATCCCCTACAGCATAATCTGGTCATTTCCGAGCATAATCCGATTACCCCTACTAGTGTGCAGAAGGAACTATGACACTATGTAGAATTACAAGGGTTGTGACTGAGAGGAGCATCATGGCGAGTCGATTGTCCAAACCGGTTGTTTTGCGTAAATAATGATAGACAAGAGCAGTGATGTAGCAATGGGATTTTGGAAAAAGAAGACGAGCTGTGAGACGTTCAGGGGTCACTAGAATGATAAAGCACTTTTGTGCTCCCGCATATATTGCCAGGCGTCAGGCGCCCAGCCTCCCTGCCTATCCGACCCACCATACACAACAACAAAACTGAACTAAAGTTTTACATAATTTAAATATTCGACAGACGGAGACGGGCAACGGGCAAACGAAGAAGACCAGACACAACAAGGGGAACTGGAAACTGAAGAAAAAGACAAAAATCATGGCAGCACATGAGCATGCACGCAAACAAAACAAAACAAAACGCATGACAATGATGTAACCGTTCCATGGTGCATGCACAAACTGGATGTGAAACCAAAACAGTCCAACTGGGGGAAAAGGAGAGCGCAAAATAAAACAAAATATACCAAAGGACCACAACAACATTGAGCCATTAAACGTCTTTCTTTCTAATAAAAACGATACGCAACAAGCGCTTTACACAAAGCATCTACAACTGTTCCCTTCAATCCAGTGCAGCAGATAATAATACTCACAGATATTAGAGGTTTGTTCATCATGTTTCCAGCAGTTCTCTATATACACACAGGTATAATTTCTATTCTCTGCGTTCAGTGGTGCAGTTGAGAACACTTACAGTGTTTGGAGGTTTGGCAGACCAGTGAACACACCGTCACTTAAATTCTGGATCTGATTATTGTACAAATATCTACAAACGACAAGCCACAAGGACAATGTTGTTCTTGCATAGTTCCGGGTAGTGAACAAAACACCGAGTCTAGGATATTGAAATTCTAATCTAAAACGCCGAATCATGACCTTGTTTTCAGAAATAACCTAGACTCCGAACCACAACATGATTCGTATGCAACTTGGTTAGGTTGCGCAGCTCACATACACCACTGTAAATATAGTCTCCGGCATTTTCCTCTATTGTCGAGCAAGAGGTTAGTTGCAAAGCTAAGTAAACACAATTGATATTCGAACGATGCATTGTTTGACACTGCAGACACACAGTTCACATACACCACTGTTGATTTCTAATGTTGCATTGTTTGACAATGCAGATAAATAACGGGCCGCCGAAGAATGAAAATATACTGGCTTGAATTGTTACAAATTGCGTGAGAACTGAATATGACAGTATACCTAAACTGGGACTTCCCAAGGGATTCATAGTCTTTGACTGATGATGTTGCTAGAAAAGGTACAAAAATCCTCAGTCTTCTTTATGGTTCGTTTAATTAATGTTTGGTTATGTTGACACCCCCCCCCACCTTTTTTGTTATATTGGTGAAGAAATGGAGCAGAAAAAAGGAAGTGCGTGCCATAACGTTTGAAGGTTCTGGAAATGTCAATGCTTTTCGAACAGAATCTGTCACTGTCACAAGTTTAGATAATTATCCGCAATGGGCGAATGCCTCATGGCTTCAATTAGAAATCTAAAGGCCAAATCATCTTCGTTCTGCGCTTCCGAAAACTTCAGAACATTTGAAAGTTATAGAGGGATACATGATTTAACATTATCCACTGTAATGCAGTTCTGAACATGTAGGAAGAATTTGTTGCTCCATTTACTGTGCGCTGCCGTCTGAGTATCTCATGCACGTAACCCTTTTCATCCAACGACGAGAGTTTGACCTTTTGATGGTGCCCAGTTACAACTCTGGACATCTGGACATCGTCTACATTTCTTTCAAACTCTCGCTAGTTACGGCTCAGCTCAGTAGATGCAACCTCTCTGTGTAGGATCTGAACGCATTCATGTTTTTTTGCATCTTTCCCTCGAGTGGGTCTAATGTTATTAGGCAATTGTCTGTTATAGTCACCACTATAAATAAAAATCCAATCCAAATCCAATCCAACGAACTCGTTCTTCATGCTCTTTCTTTTTTTGCGTATCACCTGTGATTGTCGGCTGTAGTCGGACGTCCCTTTGCTATTTGGATAGGGACTTAGTAAGATAGAAATAGTGTTGTTCTCCCCCTGGTCCCCACCACACAGCAACGCAAACTCTTGAGTGTGTCTCCATTCTTTTTATTATAACAACAAATGACGAAGGCGCAGAAGGAGAATGGAAAACAAAGGTCAAACGAAAAGACAACAGGAAAGCCACAAAGAAATCACAAATAACGAGCAGTAATAAAGCGAATACAAATCCATACTGGCCAACCACCAAAATCTCTATACCTTGACAAAACATGCAGAATCCATGGATTTCTCTCAAAATCCCTGAATGGCTCAAAAACAATAAAAAAACCTTCGACGGCATAAACTGCAGGTCTGCAGTCAGCACGGTTCGACTCTGCAGTGCAGTTCGATCAGTCGGCACCCACGCCTGCCAGTGCAGATCTTGCAGGCTAGGCTGATCAGGTCTTAAAAGTGCCGTGCACAGTTCGAAGTGCGAGTGGGCACCGTAAATATTTCAAGAAGAAGGAACGGGACATTCGAGGTGAATCAATGGAGCGTAATGGAGCGTTCAGGAACATTCTTGTTCAGACAAAAATGTGACTTTAATGGGAGTTTGTTTCAAATCAAGCAGAACAAAATCAAGCCTTCGGTGCCCAATGAAGCGATCGCACCAGATGGTGAAATCCCACAGAATCTTGATCTTTTGGTCCTGCGGAGAGATGAAGTATGTCTAGCTTCAGGCACGTTACCCGCGGGTGCATGATGCTCTTGGACCGATCCCAGTGGTGCTTGTAGTACTCGTATTCAGAAGGTATCCCATGTACACGCAGAGGCCAGCCGATTATGACGCTCCAAGTAATCCCGTCCAGCGAGCTTTGAACACTCGCATAGGATATGGGCAACCGACTCGCTTGCCTTCCCACATATTCGAGACAGGCGGCTTCCGCTGTGATGGAAGATTTGGGGCTTGAGCAGGTTAGTTGCCAAGGCCTGGTATAGTGTCGCGATGATCAGGCTCTCTGTGATCTTCTTGAGGCCAGCCATGATCTTCTTGGGACCAGCCTTTTTCAGCCAACTCCAGGTATTCTCGTTGGTCAGTTGTTCTGTTTGCCGGACAAACTACCCATGCCAGGGTTTCTGGGTCCATGCCAAGAGATGCTCTTTTTGAAGCCGCACTTCACCACCTGTGAGGTGTCCAGTGGGGCAACCAGTTGTGGCCACAGAATGGGTGCAGCAAGCTTCATGAGTTCCGCATCTGACTGAAGCCCATAACGCTGCAAATTGCTTTTCTCCATGGTGACAACATCATGGATACTTTGCAAACCACGTCCACCCTCCTTGCGATTGACGTACTTACGGGCTACATCACCGCGTGGATCGAGAGCTCCATGCATAGTCATAAGCTTGCGCGTTCTTTGGTCAGCAGATTTCAACTCGTCCTGCGTCCACGCCAATATACCAGCACTATACCATATCAAAGCCGCAGCCCAGGTGTTGATGGCTGTGATGATGTTGTGGCCGTTTAGAGCTGAACGGAGCAGTCGTATGAGGCAGATGACGAACAGCAGTGGGGATATGGAATCCCCTTGGAAAATCCCATGCTGAATGGCCGCCGATCTCAAGGTTTTGATGCCGTTCCAACGGTCAACCTTCCACTGAGCCATGCTAACAGTCATAAGTCTGCGTACGGATTCTTGTATGCCAAACAGTTCCTATACTATTACTATTAGACCATATAAGACATCAGACACTGGACTCTACATAATTATATTATGACATCAGACACTGGACTCTACGACAAAAGACCCAAATACAACAACGTGCGGAAATGATAGTCGAACGGAATTTCGCAGCATTAGGACTATCGCCAAATGTCATGGTTCCACGCCGGCCATATTCAATGTCACAAAGAGTGGAGTTAACTACTGCATGAATCTCGACTACGGTTCTGTTCCATGCTACTTGACATAACCAAAGGATCGCACGACCAAAAGGTGGACACTTGCCACATTATGTCAACATTCCTTTTCAACAGCGAAGGTATGTTTAGCACACCTTTCAAGGGCATTATTGATCAGTCACGAAGGAAACTGTCTGTTTATCTATGCCATTTCGAATTACATTGTCAATCTGCTCTAGATAATCGGTGGGATTATTCTTCTCAAAGTTTAATGATGATGCCAGTCCTTCTTCTTTCCCATCGTGGACCTTTCAGGTATCGACTTTGCTGTTAGGACAATAAAGTGAGTAATAACTTCATGTTCTCCGCTAAGTCAAAATTCTAAATTGAGTAATAACTTCATGTATTGACAGTACTATTGTATTGCAAGCGCAAACGAGAGTGTTCTTGTTCTGTATTGGGCAAGGACATGTGATGTCTGTGGCAACTCTTGATTGTGTCTCACTTCTTATTATAACAACAAATGATGAGGTCGCAGAAGGAGTTTTACAAACCACCAGTTCTCAAGTGGGAAAGGCCTTCGCGTCTATGGCACTGTATTCTTTGCAATGTTATATCTCGACTCCGCCGTACCGCTAAGGTTTGCTGCATGGCATACGCTATATGCGCTGTGTGCGGTTTTTACTCTATACACTGTTAGGTCATGTTTTATATGCGTATGCTTTCTTGATATACGCTATATTTGCATGCTATAAATAGCTAAGAAAGGGTTTGCTCCCCACACCGGAGCTCGCGCTATTCGCTCCAGTGTGGGGAGCAAACCCTTTCTTACAAATCATCGCCGAAGTCGCAACCACTAATTCGTACTATAAATAGCTGGTGATCTTAGTGTTAACAACTGTTCCCTTCAATCCAGTGCAGCAGATAATAATACTCACAGATATTAGAGGTTTGTTCATCACGTATCCAGCAGTACTCTATATACCGACGAGGAGACAACAGTCGTAAAATGGCTATATAACTGGTTGTTTTAGTGATTCTTACTATGTGACGATGTTCCACTGATGATTGTCACATGAAAACGATCTGGAAGTGTTTCATTTTAATTGTTTATACATGGTTATGAGTGCACAATTGATATTTTTCATTGCTACTTTACTCTATATACACACAGGTATAATTGCTATTCTCTGCGTTCAGTGGTGCAATTGAAAATACTTACAGTAGTCGGAGGTTTGTTAGACCAGAGAACACACCGTCATTAAAATTCTGGATCTGATTATTGTCCAAATATCTACAAACGACAAAGCACGAAGGCAATGTTGCTCTTGCTATGTTCCGGGTAGTGCACAAAACACCGAGTCTAGAATATTGTAGTTGTTATCTAAAAGGCCGAATCATGACCTTGATTTCAGAAATAACCTAGACTCCTAACCACAACATGATTCGTATGCAACTTGGTTAGGTTGCACAGTTCACATACACCACTGTAAATATAGTCTCCGGCATTTTTCCTCTATTGTTATTTATTGATTTATTTATTTATTACAGCATCTCATAGCACAGTGAGAACACCGGCCAATACAAATAGAGAGTGAGTTAGCCAACCAAGGCAAAGAATGGAGAAGCGGAGAAGAAGAAAGAAAGGAACCGGCATGGATAAGCAGTGTTTGCAACAAAATGATAAGCAAGAGGTTAGTTGCAGAGCTAAGTAAACACAATTGATTTTCTAACGATGCATTGTTTAACACTGCAGACACACAGTTCACATACACCACTGTTAATTTCTAATGTTGCATTGTTTGACAATGCAGATAAATAACGGGCCGCCGAAGAATGAACTCTATACCTGCTTGAATTGTTACTAATTGCGTGAGAACTGAATATGACAGTATACCTAAACTTGGACTTCCCAAGGGATTCATAGTCTTTGGCTGATCATGGCGTAAGAAAAGGTACAAAAATCCTCAGTCTTCTTTATGGTTCGTTTAATAAATGTTTCTTTATGTTGACACCCCCTCCCTTTTTTGTTATATTGATGAAAGAATGGAGCAGAAATAAAGGAAGTGCGTGCCATAACGTTTAAAGGTTCTGGAAATGTCAATGCTTTTCGAACAGAATCTGTCATTGTCACAAGTTTAGATAATTATCCGCAATGGGCGAATGCCTCATGGCTTCAATTAGAAATCTAAAGGCCAAATCATCTTCTTTCTTCGCTTCGGCAAACTTCAGACTATTTGAAAGTTATAGAGGGATACATGATTTAACAATATCCACTGTAATGCAGTTCTGAACATGTAGGATGAATTTGTTGCTCCATTCACTGTGCGCTGCCGTCTGAGTATCTCATGCACGTAACCCTTTTCATCCAACGACGAGGGGTGGACCTTTTGACGGTGCCCAGTTACTACTCTGGACATCTGGACATCGTCTACATTTCTTTCAATCTCTCGCTAGTTACGGCTCAGCTAGATGCAACCTCTCTGTGTAGAATCTGAACTCACTCGTTCTTCATGCTCTTTCTTTTTTGCGTATCGCCTGTGATTGTCGGCTGTAGTCGGACGTCCCTTTACTATTTGGATAGGGACTTAGTAAGATGGAAATAGTGTTGTTCTCCCCCTGGTCCCCACCACACAGCAACGCAAACTCTTGAGTGTGTCTCCATTCTTTTTATTGTAACAACAAATGACGAAGGCGCAGAAGGAGAATAGAAAACAAAGGTCAAACGAAAAGACAACAGGAAAGACACAAAGAAATCACAAATAACGAGCAGTAATAAAGCGAATACAAATCCATACTTGCCAACCACCAAAATCTCTATACCTTGACAAGACATGCAGATTCCATGGATTTCTCTCAAAATCCCTGAATGGCTCAACAACAATAAAAAAAACCTTCGACGGCATAAACTGCAGGTCTGCCGTCAGCACGGTTCGACTCTGCAGTGCAGTTCGATCAGTCGGTACCCGCGCCTGCCAGTGCAGATCTTGCAGGCTAGGCTGATCAGGTCTTGAAAGTGCTGTGCAGAGTTCGAAGCGCGAGTGGGCACCGTGAATATTTCAAGAAGAAGGAACGGGACATTCGAGGTGACTCAATGGAGCGTAATGGAGCGTTCAGAAACATTCTGTATCAGACAAAAATGTGACTTTAATGGGAGTTTGTTTCAAATCAAGCAGAACAAAATCAAGCCTTCGGTGCTCAATGAAGCGATCGCACCAGATGGTGAAATCCCACAGAATCTTGATCTTTTGGTCCTGCGGAGAGATGAAGTATGTCTAGCTTCAGGCTCGTTATCCGCGTGTGCATGATGCTCTTGGACCGATCACAGTGGTGCTTGTAGTACTCGTATTCAGAAGGTATCCCATGCACACGCAGATGCCAGCCGATTATGACGCTCCAAGTAATCCCGTCCAGCGAGCTTTGCACACTTACATAGGATATGGGCAACCGACTCGCTTGCCTTCCCACATATTCGAGACAGGTGGCTTCCGCTGTGATGGAAGATTTGGGGCTTGAGCAGGTTAGTTGCCAAGGCCTGGTATAGTGTCGCGATGATCAGGCTCTCTGTGATCTTCTTGAGGCCAGCCATGATCTTCTTGGGACCAGCCTTTTTCAGCCAACTCCAGGTGTTCTCGTTGGTCAGTTGTTCTGTTTGCCGGACAAACTACCCATGTCAGGGTTTCTGGGTCCACGCCAAGAGATGTTCTTTTTGAAGCCGCACTTCACCACCTGTGAGGTGTCCAGTGGGATAACCAGATGTGGCCACAGTATGGGTGCAGCAAGCTTCATGAGTTCCGCATCTGACTGAAGCACATAACGCTGCAAATTGCTTTTCTCCATGGTGACAACATCATGGATACTTTGCAAACCACGTACACTCTCCTTGCGAATGACGTACTTACGGGCTACAACAGCGCGTGGATCGAGAGCTCCATGCATAGTCATAAGCTTGCGCGTTCTTCGGTCAGCAGACTTCAACTCGTCCTGCGTCCACGCCAATATACCAGCACTATACCATATCAAAGCCGCAGCCCAGGTGTTGGTGGCTGTGATGATGTGGCCGTTTAGAGCTGAACGGATCACTCGTATGAGACAGATGACGAACAGCAGTGGGATATGGAGTCCCCCTGGAAAATCCCATGCTGAATGACCGCCGATCTCAAGGTGTTGATGCCGTTCCAACGGTCAACCTTCCACTGAGCCATGCTAACAGTCATAAGTCTGCGTACGGATTCTTGTATGCCAAACAGTTCCTATACTATTACTATTAGACCATATAAGACATCAGACACTGGACTCTACATAATTATATTATGACATCAGACACTGATGTCAACATTCCTTTTCAACAGCGAAGGTATGTTTAGCACACCTTTCAAGGGCATTATTGATCAGTCACGAAGGAAACTGTTTGTTTATCTATGCCATTTTGAATTACATTGTCAATCCGCTCTAGATAATCGGAGGGTTATTCTTCTCAAAGTTTAATGATGATGCCAGTCCTTCTTCTTTCCCATCGTGGATCTTTCATGTATCGACTTTGCTGTTAGGACAATAAAGTGAGTAATAACTTCATGTTCTCCGTTAAGTCCAAATTTGAAATTGAGTTATAACTTCATGTATTGACAGTACTATGGTATTGAAAGCGCACATAAGTTGTTCTTGTTCCGTATTGGGCAAGGACATGTGATGTCTGTGGCAACTCTTGATTGTGTCTCACTTTTTATTATAACAACAAATGATGAGGTCGCAGAAGGAGTTTTATAAACCACCAGTTCTCAAGTGGGAAAGGCCTTCGCGTCTATGGCACTGTATTCTTTGCAATGTTGTATCTCGACTCCGCCGTACCGCTAAGGCTTGCTGCATGGCATACGCTATATGCGCTGTGTGCGGTTTTTACTGTATACACTGTTATGTCATGTTTTATAATTATGCGTATGCTTTTCTGATATACGCTATATTTGCATGCTATAAAAAGCTAAGAAAGGGTTTGCTCCCCACACCGGAGCTCGCGCTATTCGCTCCGGTGTGGGGAGCAAACCCTTTCTTACAAATCATCGCCGAAGTCGCAACCACTAATTCGTACTATAAATAGCTGGTGATCTTAGTGTTAACAACTGTTCCCTTCAATCCAGTGAAGCAGATAATAATACTCAAAGATATTAGAGGTTTGTACATCACGTATCCAGCAGTACTCTATATACACACAGTTATACAACTATCTTAATAATGCAATGAATATAACTAAATGCGCACTCATATCACAACCATGGGGACGAATCATGTATTCCAGAACGTTTTCTTGTCAAACGGTGTCTCGGAAAAACCAACACAGCACGCAGAAATTGGGAACAAACATTAATGTAAACAAAGACGAACACTGTGTCTTATCTTCATTATCAGCGAGTACCGGAACGCCGGACGCAGACAACCGCAACTCACCAAAGCTGAGAAGGAGCAAACGGCTGGCGGCAGCTCGGTTTGCAGAGGTGACTGGAAAGATGCATCGAAACTCTCCGGATATGGATGATGCCAGCGGAAGAGTTGACGACTGTCAGGCGTTTGGCAATGGCAAGGGAAGACCGGTCAGGAAGAGAACGCGACGGCAGCTGGAGGAGGAGTGTGGAAGCGACGTGTGCAGTGACGATGATGAACCCGGTGGTCAGTTGCTGGGAGAGCCGACGACAGGTGAAGGTGGCAGCGATGATGAAGAGGACGGTGACGATGATGACGATGATGGTGCAGATGGTGTGAAGGACGGTGGCGGTCAGAAACCAAGTGAAGGCGGAGGCGGTGAGAAGAAGAAGAATACATCGGCAATTAAATTGCATTTGTTGTCTAACCCCGTGTGTCGTGAAAGTTATGATGATTCTTGGTTCAGTGTTGTTCGTTCTGCAAGTAGTTTCAAGCAGTTAAAAGTTCTAGAAGCAGTCTACATTCGCATTCGTGATCCAAATCTTTGTAAACAAAAAGAAAATGTCACCGCACTTACGCTATTCCAGTAAATTCGCACTCACACACACTTACACATGCATGTCCATTGTCACACTGCACTTGCTGAATTTCCTATCATTTCTCACCTCACCTATAGTTTATTACCTGTGCAAACTGTTCCTAGGTTTGTGCTATTTTTCTTACTATGCTTGTATCCTCGCTGTTCCACTGCAAGTGTATAAATCCTATTGTAGTTTCATCATTCTCTTTAGTCACGAATTCCATTGATAATTGTGACAAGAAAACGTTCTGGAATACATGATTCGTCCCCATGGTTGTGATATGAGTGCGCATTTAGTTATATTCATTGCATTATTAAGTTATACAACTGTTTCTCTGCATTCAGTGGTGCAATTGATAATACTTACAGTGCTTGGAGGTTTGGTAGACCAGAGAACACACCGTCACTTAAAGTCTGGATCTGATTATTGTTCAACCATCTACAAACGACAAAGCACAAAGACAATGTTGTTCTTGCTTAGTTCCGGGTAGTGCGCAAAACACCGAGTCTAGGGTATAATAATAATAATAATAATTATTATTATTATTATTTTTTAAAAGAGGTCGGAGGCGGATAATACTTTAAAACGAAGGTAAGTTATGGGTTGCAAATATCCACACAAACACCCATACAGTCATAATAAGGCACTTGTCATAAGTATCCGATTATTGTTCAACCATCTACAAACGACAAAGCACAAAGACAATGTTGTTTTAGCTTAGTTCCGGGTAGTGCGCAAAACACCGAGTCTAGGGTATAATAATAATAATAATTATTATTATTATTATTATTTTTTTTTTAAAGAGGTCGGAGGCGGATAATACTTTAAAACGAAGGTAAGTTATGGGTTGCAAATATCCACGCAAACACACATACAGTCATAATAAGGCACTTGTCATAAGTATCCGAACATTTTCGGTCCCTTCTCATCAAGGATTATACAGGGAATGGCTCAAGCTGGAAAGACTAAAACTTATATAGCGTAAAGATAATTAGATAACAACACTCGTGACAAGGTGGAAAATTATCAAGTTTAGCACGACACAAAACTCGAAGGAAAATAATAATAGTGACAACAACATAGTGAGCAAATTAAGTTACATTGTTACCACCTCGACGAGGAGTAACACCAAACAATTGTAGCGACAACACATTTTCTTTCTGTACGCAAAGTTCAGGATCTAACTTACGGATATACAAAGCTTCTAACACAGCCAAATGTAACGCACATCTACCACGTGACAATATTGAGAAAACATTATCACTGTACAACTCACGACAATTGGTACGGGCTGACAGATGTTGCTTGATTGACGAAGTGCGATTCTTAGCTCCATTGGGTGTTGTCTCCTCCAATGTCCCGTCATCTCGCCTCTTCGTGGCATCACCACTATCTGTCTCTTCGCGTTTCCGCGGCCTTCCACGTTTCTTGACAACAACCGTTGGGTGCGCGATACCCGGTGTCCTTTCCGTTACGTCTCCTCCATTGCGGATTTCTATTGAGCTTCTTACTCCAACTTGTCCGGTGTCCGATATTGAGGTTAGTTTTCGCGGTCTACCACGTTTTCGAATATTGACTGTTGTTGTCATTTCCGTTGTCGTTGTACGTTCGTCCTCATCAGTCCGTATTTTCACTTGGCTTCTCGTCACCCTTTCCGACGCCGACAGATCCTTTGTCAGTTTCGGTGGTTTACGTGTGGGTCTTTCACCATCTTTTATGCTGTTCTCAGCTGGCCCGTGTCCTACACACGCAGAGGAGGACGGGCATGCAGTCACATCTTCACGGGAAGAGGAAGATCCTCCGATGGACTGGACAGCGCATTTTGGAGGACGACCACGGCGAGGACGACAATCGCGCGCATCAAGCGGCACAACTTAACGGCACATGTTGACGAATGCGTGCGCCCAGGTGCTGAAGGGTTCTACCTACATACCGATCTTCACATTGTCGGCATTGAAAGAAATAGATAAGGTTACTTTTACTAAGGGTAGGTAGAACATCCTTCTTCACACTGAACGCACGCACTGTCCCAAATATGACGTACAGCTTGACGCACGGATATGATGGACATACGATACCACGAACATCCTTCTCCACGCAAGCAGAACCGGTGCCAACCCAGGGTAAACGGAGCACCACTGGGCAACGGTCAGGTCCAAATTGGATAGGCTTGTCTGTCACCGGTTTTTCGTTGATTAGCTTGGCCAGAAATTCCTTTGGATAGCCGTTGTTCGTAAATATTGATGTAAGTCTGTCTAATTCGTCCTGCAATAGATGAGGGGAACATATTCTATGTGCACGATAAACTAGCGCCTTCACAAGATGTCTCTTCGATTTCGTTGGTGTATAGCTCCCCCACGGAATGTAGAGGCCGGTGAACGTTGGCTTCCTATAGATAGTGGTGTCCAAACTCTTAGTGTTAATATTCCGTGATATTTGTTCATCCAAGAAGGATAAGCTGCCGTTTTGTTCCGCTTCCGACGTGAATCTCAACGCCGGGTGGAGACTATTCAGAGTTAGTAGAAAAGTCCCACAGACATCCTCATCCTCATCGTGACAGTACACATCGTCTACAAAACGACAGTACATAGAGGGCCACAATGATGGACTAATGGACGCTTCACAGAACCCTACAAAGATATTAGCCAATACAGGACCAAGCGGCGAGCCCATGGCAACGCCATCTATTTGTTTATACATAACAATGCCAAATGAAAACTCAACGCCCGACGTAACCATTAACATGAGTTTCACAAACTCCGTTATGTTCAAAGACGGCGGAGTAATGGACTTATTGTGGTACAGTGTTGTTGCGCAGATGTCAATGGTCTCCCGTAGTGGCACGTTAGTAAATAAGCTCACCACGTCATACGAGCACATGAATCCGCTCGATTCAAAGCTTGCGTCCTTTAGCTTTTCTACAAACTCGAAAGTATCTTTGACGCAGTGGCTATTGTAGAGGTTGAGTACCGGTTGTAGCATGGCACATAGCCACTTGGATGTTTTAAATTGCGGTGACCCAGACATGCTGAGTATTGGTCGTAAGTTGTGTTCCGCTTGATGCGCGCGATTGTCGTCCTCGCCGTGGTCGTCCTCCAAAATGTGCTGTCCAGTCCATCGGAGGATCTTCCTCTTCCCGTGAAGATGTGACTGCATGCCCGTCCTCCTCTGCGTGTGTAGGACACGGGCCAGCTGAGAACAGCATAAAAGATGGTGAAAGACCCACACGTAAACCACCGAAACTGACAAAGGATCTGTCGGCGTCGGAAAGGGTGACGAGAAGCCAAGTGAAAATACGGACTGATGAGGACGAACGTACAACGACAACGGAAATGACAACAACAGTCAATATTCGAAAACGTGGTAGACCGCGAAAACTAACCTCAATATCGGACACCGGACAAGTTGGAGTAAGAAGCTCAATAGAAATCCGCAATGGAGGAGACGTAACGGAAAGGACACCGGGTATCTCGCACCCAACGGATAGTGTCAAGAAACGTGGAAGGCCGCGGAAACGCGAAGAGACAGATAGTGGTGATGCCACGAAGAGGCGAGATGACGGGACATTGGAGGAGACAACACCCAATGGAGCTAAGAATCGCACTTCGTCAATCAAGCAACATCTGTCAGCCCGTACCAATTGTCGTGAGTTGTACAGTGATAATGTTTTCTCAATATTGTCACGTGGTAGATGTGCGTTACATTTGGCTGTGTTAGAAGCTTTGTATATCCGTAAGTTAGATCCTGAACTTTGCGTACAGAAAGAAAATGTGTTGTCGCTACAATTGTTTGGTGTTACTCCTCGTCGAGGTGGTAACAATGTAACTTAATTTGCTCACTATGTTGTTGTCACTATTATTATTTTCCTTCGAGTTTTGTGTCGTGCTAAACTTGATAATTCTCCACCTTATCACGAGTGTTGTTATCTAATTATCTTTACGCTATATAAGTTTTAGTCTTTCCAGCTTGAGCCATTCCCTGTATAATCCTTGATGAGAAGGGACCGAAAACGTTCGGATACTTATGACAAGTGCCTTATTATTATTATTATTATTATTATTATTATTCAGGTTCTAATCTCAAAGGCCGAATCATGACCCTGTTTTCAGGAAAAACCTACACTCCTATCCACAACATGATTCGTATGCAACTTGGTTAGGTTGCACAGTTCACATACACCACTGTAAATATAGTCTCCGGCATTTTTCCTCCATTGTTATTTATTTATTGATTTATTTATTACAGAACACCGGCCAATACAAAGAGAGAGTGTGAGCCAACCACGTCAGGCGAAATAGCACGTCATAGTACATTTGAGATCAGCGGGAAGAAGATGACGACGTCCACTAATTTAGTATCTGTGCACACGAATCTGCTGTGTGTGTGACTCTGTGTGTCAGCTATGATATCATCTTCTGTGGTTCCATGCCTAGCATGTACGTCTGAACCATCCTGCACAGTTTGAATGACGTAGGTTGAGCGATCGCTCCGCGAAACATACTTTTTGAAATTCTCTTCATAGTATATCTTCCACCATTGAAATTTCGAATTTCTTCAAAAAAAGTGCTGAGAGGGGTGGCTTGCAACCTCGATATGGCTTGTTCCAGGCATGCTTTGGAGCCATCTTCTGTTGAAGTAGTGGCGGGGATCTACCCTGCAACTGCTACAACAAAAAATGATTCCATCTGAGAAAGGGTGAAACCGCGAATCTCGGTTGAATATTGAGTATTTCAAGCCTTTTCACGACGAAGATGGAGTTCTTTTTGAAGATGGACGTCGCGGCGAAGGACATGGTGTCCAACTTCTGGCGTCTGGTGAAGCCAGGGATCACTTGTCCAGTCAGGTCGGCAGCCTAACTGTCGGTAAGCTTGTGTTTGGATCCCGTTCTGCTCGATGTGGTAGATCACAAACAATTTGATATCGCACAAATTGATCTCAGCATCGTGCGTACGGTATTTTATATTCAGAAAATCCCAAAGTGTCTCTGTATGGCCGTCCTATGCCACGAGAAACTCCAATCAGGCTCCTATGTCCTCTGCCTTCATGATTGAATGTCCACTTCGTTTGAACAACGAACACAACAATCGAGGACGGCTTTGCAATGAAAAATACAGCTATACTGGAGCTGAAAAAAAGAAGAAAAAAACGTGCTCAGGATGAGACTCGAGTACACGCATACTCTCCCAGCAGGTGAAACGCAAATTTTTGTGAAAAATGCGTGTCGCCGACTGACCAGTAATTTCGCCTGACGCGGCAAGGAAGGGAGAAGGGGAGGAGACGAAAGAAAGGAACTGGCATGGATAAGCAGTGTTTGCAACAAAATGATAAGCAAGAAGTTAGTTTAAACACACGGCGAGGAGACAATAATTTGATAACCGCAATCAATAAAACTAGCTGAACCGACATTTGTGTACTTTATTCATGCAATGTAAAAACTG